CTCCTATCTCCAGGAGGAAAAAACACAAGAGAGAGGAGACTGGAAGCAAATGGGCTTCTGGGTCCCATCAGGGCTGCACAAGAACTCCGCCATGCTGCCAGCTTGCACCAGTGTGCGGCCCTCGCCCCGTGACAACCAGACATCCCTGCCCGGCCCGGGCTGGGAGCGGGTAATAAACCCAGGGAGGCACCCTCCCCAGTGAAAATGGGTGGGCTTAGGGCATCCCGGCTCAGCCTCTGCCTCAAGTCACAGAATGCGAACAGTGTATGTGAACTAAACCTGCTTGTTACGGCGTGAGTGGGGTGGAGGCCACAGGGCCTCTGTGAGGGGGGGGAACAGCGTTGTCCTGAGTACAGCCAGCAAGCTGCTGTGTGGAGTGGGCTGGGCCAGAGCCCTGCTTCTGGACTGGAGTTGCCATTTGAATTTATGAGTGTGCAGAAATGCCTCTCCCACCATTTCCTGCTAGCTGATGGCCCCTACCCTGGCCAGAAAGCCTCTGGATGGTGGGCAGCAGTGCCCGCGTCCTCACCCACTGACAGTGGCTGAGCAGGGCAGGCGAGGGAGGCCAGGACGGCTGCACTTCAGGGGCTCAGCCACTAAGGGCAGCAGAAGCATCTAAGAGGGCAGGGGCGGTATCTTTCCTGGACCAGCTCTTGATCCACTTTGCACCTTTTCTATTGTTACCGACGCTGCTCAGTCCTGGTGTGGGAGGGTATTGGAGGAGTTTGTGCAGTGGTTCCTCCACCAGGGGTCAGAGACCATGTCCTACTGCCAAGCAGCAGTGACTGCCTAAGCGTAGGCTGTGGGGGTGGGGAGAGGTAGGGGGCACCTCAGCTGGAGCTCAGGGGTATCTCCTTCCAACCTCAGACCAAGCCGGTGGAAAAGGAGAGAAAGTGCATGGAGCCAGCTGGGACCCAGCCACTCTCCTCTCCAACACTCCGGGTAGGAGGCCCCCTCGCCAGCCAATCCTGCCTGCTGGCCTTCCCCGGCTCCCTCTCCAAAGGTCCTGCTCCCCACTCCCTTGGCACAACACAGCGCCAGGCTTCCCACTGCTCTCCCAGCTCTATAGACTCTGTTTTTATATCTATTTAAAACATAGAAATGTATAAATATATAGGATATTATTTATAGATATATAGACGTGATTTACTCTTCTTACTCTGTGTGTATACGTACTGTATATGTCCATATATACAACATATATGCTGTAGCATCTGTATTCTACACTGCACATACCCCTGCTTCCATGCACTCTCTCCTAGGGAGACTGGATTGCATAGGTATTTCCAGGGCGATACCACTTGAGGGGGTGGGGGGGAGTGCCAAATGGAAGTGGAGGGGCGTACCATTTTCCTCCCAAAAGGGCACTTTTTCTCCCTCTGGCTAACATGCAAAGATCGCCTCGAAGGGTCCTTAAAAATATCACAGCACCATCCATTCAGCTCAAGCACCCTGACCAACAGACAGCAAGAGAAGGGCCCCTGTCAAGTGGAAGACAGGCTTCCCTCCAAGCCGGAGAAGGGCTGTGCCAGTCTCTTGAGTCCTCCTGAGGACTGAGGAGGAGGCCAGACTAGAACCCATGACACAGCACCACCTCCCCACATGACTGGTGTCTGGAATGGGTGCTCCAAGCTCCGTTGCCATCTGAAAACCCCTTTCTTGTCTGAGGAGGCCTGGCCTGCCTGTTTCAGCTGTTCCAGCCTGGCCTGGCTACATCTGCCCCTTGAAGCAGGAAGGGGGCACAAGTCCAGTGCCTTCTGCCAAAGTTGTATGTACGGGCCAAGAAAAAGCACGAATTCTACTTGGAAATCAACCCAGACTGAAAGCCAAAAGCAGATCTCGGTGTAGAACTCCCGTTCCTAGAGTGGGTAGAAGGAAAAATGAGGGGGATCCAGAAGAGGGAGGTTATATTTCAACCCCTCAGGCCGCCTCCTGGGTCCCATCAGGCTCCAGGTGAGCAGGTGGCATGGCACCAGCCCCTCAGCGCAGGCTGGGCCAGGGCTCTGGGCCCACGGCAGGCTCTCAGCCATCCTCTCCAGCCTTCTGCATGCTTTCCCCTGTTTTCTCTCTTTTGGCACCACCTCCAAACGAATGGAAAATATTTAAACATTACTTTAAGTAATTACAAGGTCCTTTTCCCAAATTAAAGGGTTGGCATAAGCAACTCAAAGGGAGGGGATTCAGCAAAACAACTCAACTTGGAAACGTGGCAGGGGCTAAGGTCAGGGACCCCCAAGTGCCATGGATTCCGGGGTCCAGCACTGAACCTGGCCATCCAGGGTCCCGGAGCTTTAGCCTGCTCAGTCCCAAGTGAGGATGGGGAAATGAGGACGTGCCCCGCATCACAAGGAGTCATAGGCCAGTCATTTAAAAAATTAAATAAGGCTGCTGTTTCTGATGCCTGGACTCATATTCAACCAGGCAGGGGATTCTGACATGGCAAGAGTCACAGACGTGGCTGGGCTGTAGATGGCAATGGATCTTTCGTTTTGTCCTCCATGAAGGAAAAGCAGACCATGTTACTCATAAAGGCCCCAGCTCCCAGGCTCTGCCAGGTGTCTCCCTGGCACAATTGGCCACAAACCTGGGCCTAGAGGTTAATCTCACTTCCCACCATCTCCACGAGCCAAAGAAAGTCACTAATCAGCCAGCCCCATTATGCCAAGTCTCGGCCCCAGAGACGCATTTCATTCTAAGCCCGTAGTCATCACTCCTAAGCCTTAAAGGGCTCTGTCTTGTTTGAAGTTACCACATATGAGATGCACCAATTCCTCTCCATAGTTCTGTATACCCATCAAGGGGAGACTAGGTTAGCCAAGCATAGGGGTCCCTGGGCTAGACCCTGAGTGTCCTATCAATCTAAGTCCTTCTCAAGCAAGCAGGAGAGTGAGCAATGCCTACGACAGAAATCACAGGTAATCACATGCAGAGTTCACAGGACAGATGCACTGGGCCTCCCAGGGAGCATCCAAGCTGAGAAGAGACCCCACGTAAATTGCAGTGGTGTATCACCCAAGTTATTCCCTGTCCCATGGCCATGTGGCCTACAGAGTGTCTGCCATAGCCCTGGCATGGCTAAATTCAGCAGAAGCCACAAGCACCCAGAGTTTTAGGGGTGTCCTAACCTAACTTTAAGACCATCTAAGAGCTTAGCTTTTCCAAGGTCTGGTGGCCAGCGCAGGAGGTGACCCCTGCAGCCACGTGCTGCGCATAGCAGCTCATTCTGCTAGGCCAGAGGTGGGTCACCTGTTCCTAGCTTTCTCAGGAGCTACAGGGTAGGCACTGGCACTGCCCCATAAGCTTGTCCCCATCCAGCTGAAGATTTTAGCTGATTTTGACCATGATCTCTTGAGAGGAAAAAGTCCAGCCCCGACTGACTAGGTGCTCAGGCAGACACTGGTTCTCTCTTCCTGGTTTTCAAATGAATAGGGGTCTTAGTCTGCTCCTCCCTACCCATTGCCCAAGGTAAGGTGTAAGCCAACTAGTGGCTGGAAGAAAGGATCTCAACCTACTGTTTCTGTCCTCACCAAGCCCTGTCTTGCCAGCCATCTCTGCCCTCAACCCTTCTTAGTCTCTGCAATGTTTAGTGATGACACAGCAGTTTGCGTGTGCGAGGGGAGAGGAAGTCCCGAGGCTGGGGCTGGGCCAGGTGGGACCTGGGGCTTTGTAACAGCTCCCACTTGACCACAGTTAGTTTTAGACCCTGATGAGAGGAGCGGATGGAGGGAGATAGCAGTTCAAAGTGGGAAGTGGAACAGGGCCGGAAATCTCAAAGCTTCAGAAAGGGGCTTTCAGCCTTTCCTTGCTAGTTCCTGCTAACTGTTTTCTTGCTCGGAGGAGGGTGGGGAAGTATCTGTGCAACTGGGGTGGGAGGTGGGTTGGATGTCACCAGGCAGGGGTGCATTGATTTGTTGAAGAAGGCAGCATATGAGGCCTGGCAGTGGGACAGTTGGAGGAACCCAGTTTTTTGTTTTTTAACATGCTACATCACTGTTAAAAACAAACAAAAATGTTTCAAAAATAATATATAATATATATATATATAATATATTTATATAATGAAAAGCTATTGACTAGCAGCAATGATTCTAAAGTTACCTTAGCACCAAGACCATGGGGGTGAAGGGGAAGGGAGTGGTGGGGGATGGAGGGACTGGCAGGACCAGGAAGGGGCTATAACATGTTCAGTGTTGATGACGTTTCCACTATGGTTCTCAACGGCGGCATGAGGCCTCAGAGACAAGATCAACCAAGAAGGAAGGAAGCCACCGCAGTTTTATAATGTCTGAACCAAGCAGGCTGGAGACATTGGGGCCTTGCCTGCGGCCAGATCACACCAACCAAGAGGTGAAGCTCTCAGCAGAACTGACCACATGTATAGAATTCAGATCTTCCTCCCTCCCCCCAAAATGACCTGCATCCACATGATAAGATCTCTGCATACAAACGATGCATAAATCAGATGTAGAAACATGAACAGAAGTTTTTAACAGCTCACGCACATTTTTTAAAACTCCCTTGCGAGGTATACCGGTAGTTAAATGAATGAAAGAGCATTGATCAGACTCCTCTAGATTAAACCACTGCTTGCCCCAGGGAGTAGGCAAGTGGCTATTTCTAAAGCTTATATTGTATATTGTGATTGTGTGTGTGTGTATGTGTGTGTGTGTGTGTAGGCTGATGCCTTGAGAGTCCTCTCTTCTTTTCTCCTTTTCTTTAGGACATCTCTACCCTGGTCAAAAAAGGAAGATTTATAGGCAGAGACACATTCTCCAGCTTCCTGTGACCATGGGGCATGTTGTCAGCCTTGTTGCAAAAGAAGGACCACATCTCTAGAGGCTCTCATTTGAGTTATGCAGAACTCAGGGCACAATTTGCATTGATACCTCCTGCCACTGAACTTTAGCAGGCATTTCTTATTAAAGGAAAAAAAAATTATTAAAGGAAAAAAAAATACCCTCAACACATGATATGATTATAAAGACAGAGTATAAATAATTCATGTAAATTGAATACATACTTTTCATTTTACTTTCTTTTTTTTAGCCAAAAATCACTCCCTTATAGGGGCCTGGACTTCTTGGCTCTTCATCTCCCCAAAAGCCTTGGATCAGAATGGAATTGTATTGTTTATTCTCTACCTCGTAAAAACAGGAATGCTAAAAGCTCACCCCTTCTCCCTTTCCCAGGATTTCAAGCTCGGCGGTGAGGCAATCTTGCCTTCAGTATAATGGGTAATATCGTAGTTTCCAGGGGGCTGGAAAGAAGGGATCCACATCCCAGGATGGACGAGGCAACAGAGGTGAGGTGCGGCGGTGTCACAGTTTGACCGACACTTTTGTTTGTAGGACAGTGAAGGAACCCTCATCAGGAAATGAATGAAAAAAAAAAAGATCTCAAGCTGAAGTTAGACGGGGAGGGAGAAAGGTCAAACCCCCCAATCCAGACACACAACTCACCCCGGCTTAAGTCTGAGACCTTTGACCAGAATGTCAATGAGGAGGCCAAGGACCTCCCTCCCATCATAAAATCAAATGAAAAAAGAAAAGGCAAGAACATAAACCCAAACCCAAAGCCCCGCCACCCGCAAATGAAAACATAAACAAAACGAGCTACCTAAAGGTGATGACAGAGACCTGTCATTTTAGCTTATGCTGTTGGTGGACAGTAAGTTGGGAACACAGGTGGCCCCAGCACGTGCTTCTGTGAGTGAAAATGAGTTGCCACGTATGTTGCAGCTGCCAAATTTTGTAGACAAGAGTCAGTTTCCAATATTTTTCCTTTCTGAAAGCTCCCAGTGGCTTCTGGTGGATGCGTCACCTTGGTTTTTAAAAATTTTCAGTGTGGGTTTTTATATATATATATATATAATATAATATAATATATATTTATATAATATATCAAAGCTTATGAGTATAGATTAAAAAAATATTCAATAGCTTCGTGAACTCTGCAGCGCCAACTCCCTAAAGGTCGGGGTAAAACTCCGCCCCGTGGTCCACGGTCTGTAGCGCTGGCTTCTGCTCCAGCACGGACATCCTGCTGAGGACCTCCGCGGACAGTGCATAACTGTTCCCCGACTTCTCCTCAAACCAGCTGTCCAGGGCTCGCTTGGCATCAAAATTGGCAATTGGCGGTCCGTTTACAGCGATTGTCAACAGGTCGCTAAGTTGCTCCAGGGTCAGGCGGGAGCGGTGGTTTTTGCGAACTCGCTGGAGGGCGTTGCGGCCTTTCTCGCAGCAAGCGGTGGAAGTGGGGAGGACTTTAAGAACCTGGATGATCTTGTTCAAGAGTGGAAACCTCTGTTTGTACTTGCAAATGTGGCTGATCAGGTCTTTGAAGCCATTTTTGGTGTAGTAATCTGCCTTGAGTTCTCGCCATTCCATCAGCAGACTGCCCCGGGGGTCCAGCCCTTCCCTACAGATATCCCTGGAAAAGGTCGGGATGGCCTCCAGGTGATCAAATATCTGCACCATATCCTCCTTGCCATAGCTCATCAGCTCCTCACTGCTCCTGGGCCAGGCAGCCAGGTCGAAAACCTGACAGGCCTTCACAAAGATCCGGCTGCGGGAGTCGAACCTCTGAGCCAGGATGACCTGGGTCTTCTGGCAGATCTTCTCCCTGATGGACTGGAACTTGGCTTCAGCCACCCTGAGGTTCTTCATGGCGATCCCATTGAAGCTCTCTCGGAAGTTCTCCTCAAACTCCTGCAGGTATTCTCCCGGGGAGTCAGCCAGCCGGCTGATCTCCTGGATGGCCTCCTCGATCTTGTCATCCACCTGGGACACCAGCAGGTACTCGCCCTGGAAGACGTAGGCCAGGCGTGAGAGCACAGCGATCACGTCCAGCAGGAAGTAGATGAGCTTGATGGACTGGTAGTCCATGAGGAACTGCAGCAGGGCCAGGGCGATGGCCGAGGCATCTGCCCGCTGGGTCTGGCTGCTGACCTCCTTGAGATGAGCCACCACGTCCAGGTAGTCCTTGATAAGGGCATTGAGGACGTTCTGCTCGCCAATGATCCACCGCACCGCCCGGATGTCCCCCAGGAACTCTGTCTCCTCGCAGAGGGTGGCCGCCGTGGACCGCAGCTCGCACATGAGGCGCGGCGAGTAGCGGTAGAAGCTCAACAGCTGCTTCAGGTTGTTCTCCAGCTCTTCCAGGCATGGGAGCTCCTTCCCGCTGATGGCATCCAGGATCTCCAGGTGGGGCCGGTGCACCATGAAGGGCAGGCACAGCAGCCAGGGCAGGGTCTTGCGGATCGTCATGAACATGCTGGCCCGGAGGCTGGCTGTGATGTTGGCCCCATCTACACCCAAGCCCACGGTTGGCTTTTCATCCTGTAACCGGATGCCCAAGGCCGAGAAGGCCCGGTCAAGTGCCTGGAGATAGCTTTCTGTGCTAGAGAACCCCAGCTCCTGCAGGGACAGGAACTCTGTGGCCGGGGGCCCGTCGCTGCTGGTGTACTGAACATAGACAGCCACCGTGTCGGCCAGCAGGTCATCGCTCTGTCCATCCAGGATGATGCTGAGGCAAGGCGACTGGCGGATGCGTTCCACCAGGTCTTCCCGCAGGGCCCGGGCGATGTGATGGATGAGGATCTGGCAGTCTCCCTCGTTCATGTACTGGTCCACCACCTTGAGCTCACACTTCCTCAGCAGCTCCGCCAGGGGCCGGAAGTCCAGGTAGGGCCTGCCCTCCAGGGCCAGGTGGTAGGCGGTGTTGAAGAGCAGGGTCATGTTACGACACATCTCCTCCGTCTTCTCCGGGTGCATGCGGAGCTTGTACAGCTGCAGGCACTTCTTGTGCAGGTTGCTCTGGCTGTGCAGTTTGATGGTGTGAATCTTAAACTGCTTGGAGCCGATGATGAAGGCCGAGGTGCGTGAGGACTGCACCGTGTACTGGCGGCAGACGTGGCACCACATCTCATTGAGGGTCGGGGAGTACCGCAGGAACCAGAACTTCTTCAGCCATTCCTGCTTAAAGCGCCGGATTCGGCGCCCGGTGGCAGACGACATCTTGGAGGGCTCATCCGTTGCAGTCATCATATCGTTGGAGACAGATTCATCTGCTGAATCAACTTCCTGGTCATCGTCCTCCATGATGGCAGGGCCAGAGACCATGCTCTCTGAGGCTGAAAAACAAATGGGAAAGAAATATTTATACCTGGTGGGAAAAACAGGCTTTCCAAAATTCACAGGAAACACTCCTGAAAGGTGGGTGCCACACCGTGGGAAACAGAAGTCCGTGGAAGCCTATGACAGATTGAATTCCAGCCCAGAATTAGTTTATGAGCACTCCTGCTCGCCCATGTGACTTTTACTCTCTGTGAATTGTCCACGGTGGCCTTCTGGTCCCCCAGCCAGGCTCCAAGCTGCCTGCCCTTGCCCTCCACGCGTGGGTGCTTGAGGGATCTAAATGCCCCCTGTCAACTGGATAGCACAAACTAGGAGAGTGGATCTGATGGAGGGGGAAAAGCACATCACACATTCTAAAGTTACATATCAAGGACTTGGGATTCATTTGCCCTCCACTAATGTGAAGAAAGGCAGGTTGGATATGGCCTCAAGTGATTTCAGGATCAAAGTGCAGTTTAGTTTAGAGGCATGCTTTGAATACAAGAAATACCTCATTCTCAGCTAAGGGATATAGTTAAAAGAGGAAGCGCTGTGAAAAGAGTCTCCCTCAGCTGCAGATGTGAACTAGAAAATCTCCCTAGCTGTCGATCAACTCTAGAGATCCAGGCAGCCAACACACTAGGGCAAAGCCATGCAGGTGAATGGGCTGGATCCCCTCACTCTCCATCCTTCTAGAACTCCAGGCAGGGGAACAGGGACCATGTGTGGCAGAACAGAGATTCAGGAAGAGAAGAACAAGGCCATGCTCCTGGACTAACTTTGGGAAGCCATGAGATCTTTCCAGTGGGACACCCTGCTTGGGACTGAGGAGAGAGAGAGACTGGGTTTTAGAAGTTGGGCTTTGGGGCAAGACACCAGTAGGACCACCAGAGAAATGCAACAGGTCAAGAACACAGCACACACCCCTTCTGCAGCGGAACTTCCTTTATTGACAAGGAGGATACAAGGGCAACACACGGAGCCCCTGGCAGAGCTGCCGATGGGCCTGCCAGAGGCACTGAGGACCTGGGCTCCCACCCACAGAGGTGGCCACCTCCGCGTTACACTCCTCAGGTCTCCCGGAAGGTGGTTTCCACAGAGAGCTTTAGGCTAACCTCCACACGGCCCACTGAGTGTTCTGCCCTCCGACAATAATCTCAGCCAAGACAACTTACCTGCAGGGTCCGAGAACTCTGGGAGCTCCAGTACCTGTGGTGGCAATACAGGGGGCTCAGGAAGTTTCCCAGACTTAAGCATGTCTAATTCTGCCTGGAGCTCCCGGACCTTCTTCTTTAGGCGAATACAGTTAGGGCAAAAAGAGGTGGTGGGAAGTTCATGAGGGTCAGATGCAAGGGAGGCCTCGGCGGGACTGTCGGCCTTGAATGATGAAGGCTCCTCTTCTTCATCTTCCAGTGGGCCTGGCTCTTTGGAGACCCCCTGGGGGACCTTCCAGTCCCCCTCCCCCTGGGTCCGGCCTACATTCTGCACACCATGGGTTATGGTCGTTGCACGCCGACTGTAGGCATCATCCTGGTACTTGGGGACTTTCCTGATGACCAGTGAGGTGCTCAGGGCCAACTGGTGGGCTTCCACCTTTGCAGATTCCAGTGAGGCCTCCAGAACATCCTTGAAAATCAGGTCAATTTTCTTCTTCTTGGCTTGGGGTTGTACGTCCCCCTCATCAAAGCCACGCTTGTAGGGACTTTTGCCCTGTCTCAGCACAGGGAGATGGATGGGACCCCTCAGGTCTTCTGGGTTATCCAGAACCTGCTCAGACTTCTCCCTCTGCAACCTCTTCTCTCCTAGGAAGGAAAACCAGGCTGTAAGGAAGTGGGGAAAACCCCCAAATTGGAGAAACCAACAGAAAACAAAGCAGGCCTCCTGTTAGGTTGCCTGACACATCCCTCCAGCTCTGGGCTTGTGGGGCAGGTGTTGCAAAGGGGTGAGGTGAATCACTTGGTGGACCATAAGAGGTAGATTCACAGGACCTGAACAGTGGAAAGGCCTTTTATAAAGATAGTTTCAAAGAAGCCTCATATCTACAAGCTCTATGGTTATAAGTTAAGAGAAATCTGTAGGGGAGAGTAATTGAATGGTCTTTGCTATGACCCTAGAAGACAACATCCCACCCAATCACACTGGGTGGTGGGAACATACCTCAGAGCCAAGTGAGTATCAATTCCCCCAACCTTTGTAGCTTCCCCCAAGCCCTAGAAATGACAAGATGGCTGCTTCGACTTGGTAAAAGGTAAATGTGAAACACCATAGGCCTCACTCCTTTCTCCTCCCTCGTTGCTCTGGAGACAGCCCACTTAAGGCAAAGTCCATCCTATGGCAACTGTCCTTTCTAATTCTCCCGGTAATCAGCAGACTAGGAACATGTGAGAAAGTAAGATCTGAACTTCTTTGGTTAGACTAAGGATGGAAGAAAGGGGATGACAAGGAGACCTATGGCACTGAGGGCTCCAACATGGTTGCCTCCAACAAAATAAAGGACAAGGTAGCCACAAGGACCCAAAGCAGTCTGGAAATACAGCCTGATTCTTTAAAATTACCAACATAGTTTCATAAACTGCTACAGAAGTGCTGATGCTTCCTGGTGAGAGATGCTAAAAAGGCAGAGGAATCTCTTCAGTCCTTAGAGGGTCCTGAAAGCAGCCTATGGAACTCAGAAATCTCAAAGGTTTCCTAGACCAGGAGCAGGAGCCCTGGGTGATGTGTCCCTGAACAATGACTTGAACTAAGCTGTACTTAGGCTTCTGATGGCTCCATTTGCCAAAGGCTTCTTTTCTGTGTGAAGGCCAAGGGTTTGTCATAAGCAATCCAGAGGTTCCATGCCTGGTTTCCCATAGCTGGCATGGGTGCTGTGCCTGTCGCATGTTTGACTCCAGGTTTCCTTTAGGTTACAGCACAAAAGGAAGTTATCTATTCAGGATCCCCCTTTTCTGTCCTCACATGAATGCTTAAGGAACAACTTCACCTCCAAGACTTCTGGAACCCAGGCAGCTCCCCACAGCCTGCACTTCCGTATCAGCTGAGCTGCAGAAAGGGGAGGGACGGAGATAACTTGAGAATGCAGCCTGTTTGCCTTACAGATCAGATGCCTCCCTTGCCCATTGAGAATCTCCAAAAATCAAGGGCCACCTTTTCCTTTTCCCAGGGGACAATCAGGCAGCAAATAGCTGAGGGAGTCGAGAGGTCAAGCCTACAAATCACCAGAGATTCCTCATCATTGTTTGTTGCTCAAATTTCTTAGAATGAGCAGGAGATCTTTGTAGCCCTTAGGCTTCCAGAAAAATCTATGGGCCAAAACAGACCTTTACCTTCATGAAATTGCTTCCAAAGCCTCCATACAATATGGAAAACAAAAACAAAGAAAACCTCAAAGTAAATTAATGACTCAAAGTAGTTCAAATAACATAAATTGTTTGAATGTGAGCTTTAGATGCAATCTCTTCTTAAATGGTAACCACAGAGGAATAGTTTACACTGTCTTCAGGAAGACTTCTTGCAACAACCAATATCTCTACTTAATAAGAACTATTAATTCATGCTCTGGCCTCCATCAGGGTGCCAACCTCCAATTACAAAGAAACCTCCTTCTATGTAAGACCGTGAGTGATTGGGCGTAGGAGATCTCCCTTCCAGAGCAGCACTGGCACACCAATCTGGGACACCACTAAAAGTACCCAGAGTCTGCTGAAGCTACAGGCTACAGAGGCAAACATTAAAAAGCCACTGAGCTCCATGACTATTCCCAATAGTCATGGCTATTCCCAATAGTACTTGGCTTCAGTACCAAGATCACCCACAGCTGTGGAACTGCCCCACTGTGGCTTTCAATTTCCTTCCTATTTCCTACTGCTCAGCCTGACCAGGATAGACACTCTTCCCTCCTGTATCTTCATATGTCTTGATGTATCTCCCTTCAAGTCTGTCTGACACGCCTCCTCTGAACCACTCCGGAAAGCTCACGCCCTTCTCTGAGCAGTCCCCGGTGGTCTCAGGGCTCATGGAGGATGATGCAGCTTCAGGTGCTCTGGAGAAGACCACTGAGGGAAGAAAAGGACATCGCCAATCCAGAAGAATGCAAGAAGGTTATGACCAAGGGACAAATCTGTGTTCTCAGATATGATTTCTCTGGGATTTCTTTTCTTCTAGTGTTTTGATTCTCTGGGAAGCTTCATGGCTGTCTTCATTCATTTCTTCTTTTATCCATTCAACAGACTTATTGAGCCCCTACTATGTATCAGACACTTTTACATGAGGCATCTCCAGAGGTCACATGGAAACCACTGCAGCCTCATCAGGGAAGCGCACCTTGCCAAGTGAAACCAACATGTGCCCAACCCTGAGACCCAAAGAACACAAGAGATGAGTATGTTTACGGGGTTTCCTTTGACTGCCCATCATCTCCAGATACCTTTTACCAAGTCAGGCAGCAGCTGTGCACTCAGTATCCACAATTTGCTTTGTTCTGTTTTGCTTTTAAAGATGGCTTAATTTGAATAGGTCACTCCCACCCCCTTTTCATCTTCTCCCCTCGTATTCCAAGGGAAGATTTATTTCCAATAAGTAGACTGATCAGGAACACAATATGGTGGGGCTTGGGAACAGCCTTGGTTCCTGGCACCAGATACACTCTGGGTATTTGGATGTGTGGTTTTAGTGCAAAAAAACAACAAACAAACAAAAAACAAAAAACAAAACCCTTGAAAGAAGGACCTAACCTGGGCAGGATGAGAATGGAATAAAAAGGTCAAGGGTTAGGGGCTGGAAGTGGTTAAAACTGCTTCTGAATGGACACCCAACCTACCCAGCTTCCCACACTTATGTCACCTTCCCACCTCCTTCCAACCTGCTTCTTTTGATAGAGATTGTTCTTTCACCTCATCTCATTAGGACTGCGGCAGAGACACCAGGAAGAAGCAAGGAGGGGACTGGTTTTGTCTGGAACACCAGATAACACTGTAGGTCAGAACTTAGATCTTTAAGTCAGACCCATGTGGATTAGAAACCTACTTCTATCCTTCCTAGCCAGGTGACCCTGGATGAATCACTGTATTCATTTGATATTCGGTTTGCACATCTGTAAGATGGGTAAAAGAATCCGTGTTGGATCGTGAGTATTAAAAGTTCATAGCTAGGCCGGGCGCGGTGGCTCACGCCTGTAATCCCAGCACTTTGGGAGGCCGAGGCGGGTGGATCACGAGGTCAAGAGATCGAGACCATCCTGGTCAACATGGTGAAACCCCGTCTCTACTAAAACTACAAAAAATTAGCTGGGCATGGTGGTGCGTGCCTGTAATCCCAGCTACTCAGGAGGCTGAGGCAGGAGAATTGCCTGAACCCAGGAGGCGGAGGTTGCGGTGAGCCGAGATCGCACCATTGCACTCCAGCCTGGGTAACAAGAGCGAAACTCCATCTCAAAAAAAAAAAAGTTCATAGCTGAGGGCTTCCAACGATGGAGCCGGATATTGTCCTAAATGCCATATGTCCATGACTGCATCTAATTCTCAAGGCATACTGACAGGGTAGGGACAGCTGCTATGATGATTACACGGGAACATGCAGAAAATCTGCTCACAGGTTATGGGAAATATATCAACACCAGATACTGTAGGTGATTGAAACACTGAAAGGTCATCTCTTCTACTCTTCACTAACTTTTAACCACAGGGGTTCCCAGATGCCCACAGGCCTCTGATGGTGGTAAGAGTGGGGTCCTTGAACTGTTGCTAGTATTTCACGTATTAAGTCAATGTTACCTATTATTGTGATGATGATCGAGGTCATGGCAGTTTGTAACATCTTTTCATCAACTGGAGTTGGGAAAATAGGGAACATTTGGATTAAACATACTTGCTTGGCTTTGGGGGCTTGTCTCTGTCATGATACTGTGAAATGTGTGTGTTAAGGGTTTCTGAGACTATTTCTAGGGGAAGAGAACAAGCTGGGGTGGCCCCTGCCTGGCCCAGAGCTGCTGCTCAGACCTCGACCGTCTGTTCCCTGGAATCACTTTGAGTCTTCCCATTGCTGGCAACTGTATTTCCCATTGGTTTTCTTAGGAAGCCCCAAAAGAAGCTCTCGGGACCTCCCCTGGGGCTCAGTAGTGGGCGCGGTTGGCATGGAGCGTGGCACTCACCTTTGGCAAGGTTGCGGTGGATGGTTTCCTGGGACATGCTGTGCAGGCGCTTCATGTAGTCCTCGCTGTACCAGACCCGCAGCCACTCCCCAGGCCGGATGTCCCTGCACGCCCGGAAGTAGATGCATTCGCTGTGCTGGAAAGCCAGCAGGTTCTGCTCCCTCTCCTCCCGGGATATGACCACGTACCTGGGGGCGAGGGGAGATGGGTGAGAACGCACAGGTCACCTGTTGAGTGACTGCTGGTGCTGGCACAGTGCTGGTGAGGGTTAGAAGGCCACAGGCATGTAGGCCTGTGTGAGCACTGGCAGAGCAGCTGCCCTGTCCAGAGAAGCAGCACCAGCCACACCCCATCCCTGTCCCAACGTCACTGTGTCGTGGGACCTCAAGCACATCTCCAAACCTCTAAGAATCTCTGTTTTCTGAGACTGGATATGACCCCTGTCCTGCCTGCCTCATAGCATATGGAAAATATATCAACACTAGATATTATAGGCGATTGAAAAACTGAAAAGTCATCTCGTCTACTCTTCAGTAACTTTTAACACAGGGGTTCCCAGGTACCCACAGGCCTCTGATGGTGGTCAGGCTGGGGTCCTTCAACTGTTTCCAGTCTTTCACAAAGCCTAGCTGAAATAGCCTATGAGACAAGGTATCCAAGAGATCCATTAATAAATGCTAAAGATGAAAATCTTTTAAAAAATGGGGGGCCCAGGGGAGGAAGGTAAATAAGAGACCACAAAATGTTGACAACCACTGGTTAATCTCACTAAATGATTTTAAGATAAGGAGGCTGAGGCTCAGAGAGGCCAAGTGACTTGCCCAAACTCACACAGCTAATAAATGGGAGATGCAGCTTTGAGTCCTATGCATGTTTCCCACTGTAACTAATGGCTCTTACCGTGGGCATATAAAGCAGCAGCTCAGCAATGCCCAGATAACCTTCAAAGTTCTGTCAAACCCTCAGAATCTATGACCCTCGTGCATTCTCACTGAAACATTTGCAACATCCAGTCCACCACCCTACCCACCTCCAAAAGGCGGAATGGTGCAACACCTGCCGAGGGGTGAAGGTGCACAGATCACAGGGCAAGGGGAAATCAGCTGGTGTTTCACAGTTCTGTGCTACACAAGCATCTAGGAAATCTGTAGGCAAAAATAATTTCTTTCTTTATGTTACAGTTTGTCTCAAAAACCAGGCACAAAATCAAAGTCTGCCTGATTGGTGTAGCTCAGTGAATTACACCTGGATAAGTCCAGGGAAAACAAAAATTCACAGAAGAATTCCAATGGATAATAAACAAATGAAGAGTATTCAGCATCATTAATAAAGGAAACGCAACATAGTACCTTGTCTCATTGGCACAGATTTCTAAAAGACAATATCTTTATTGGTAAAGGTGGTAAGAAAGGTGTCTCCTGTACTGATGTTCCAGTATGAACACTGCAGCCCTTTGGAAAACAATTTGGCATATGGCTCAAGAAACATAAGATACAGATGAAGTATGCAAACCTGGCATACCAATATGCTGACTTGCATCATTGTGTATAGTAGCGCAAAGGCAAAACATTTGAATGTCTAATACTACAGAAATGATTTTGTAAATGATGTTACATTTATGCAATGGAATGCTATTCATCTATAGAAAATGAAAAAAGGTTTTCAAAGAATCTTTTATGACATGGAAAAATGGTGTTGGAATAATATAGTGTGAGAACAATAGGACTGGAAGTGTTTAGACTGTGGTTCCAATAATGCTTTAAAAACAAGCCCCAGTAAACAACTTGAAGGAAATATACCAATGTTTTAACAGTGACAACCCGTTATAGATGGATCATCTTTGAAATTTTGCATACTTTCAAAGTTTCCCTCACTAAGTAACTATTACTGTCACCCACGTCACCCTCAACACACCCACAAAGAAAATAAACATATGAATGCTAATTCCAGTATGAGGTGACAGTGGTGGCAGCTAGCAGCATGGAAAATCTACATTCTAGAGGTCCCAGGGATGGCACCAGCTGCCCCTTATCTATATCCTGCCCTTCTCATCTGAAGAGCCTGGGAGGAGGCTGCTGCCCTCCAAGGATGACCACTGGAGTCCAGGGAACAATCCCTTCTGGCAACAGGATGTTGCAAGACCTCAGAAGGAGTGAGACCAAGGAGGATGGGTGAGCAAATGCTAGCTTCAGCCTTCTGAGAGAAGTGAGCCACAGGCTCCACCATGGAGGTGTGGCTTGCAAGATTTATAGCGCTTAGGTCCCCCAGAATTTACATCTTGTCCTAGATCTGTGTTCTCTATCAGCCCCAACACATACACGTTCTTACCAGCGTCGGACATAAGCATTGCTCTCCCAGAGTGGTGAAGACCACACGGTGATTTCAAGCACCCAGTCGTGATGTTATTAACAAAGGACTTAAGAGAAAGGAAAAGAAACTCTCCTGACTGAGAGAAGTTGCTTCCAATTAATAATTCCCAATCTCAATTCTACAACTGTGAGTCAGCCTTTTCTCCGAATAGCTGAGATTTCTTCTGAATATGCAAAATATTTCTAGTCCTCAATTTAGTGAGATTCTAGGATCTGACATCCAAAAATAATCCACCTTGCGGTTAGCACGGAACAAAACAGAAGTCGTTCCAAACTCCTGTTCCCATATAAGAAATGAAAACCGTTCATTCATCTTTTTTCTCACAAGAATCACTTGAATCACAGAGCACCATGACTGGAGAATACTGTCTTCTCCATTTTTTTATTCCAGTTTCCAAATAGCCACCAAGCTCTAAAAGCTAGAATTATTTCTCTGACATTCAACATCAAGAGAAAAATCTAGATAAGAAATACATTCCTACCTGGGATTTATTTATTTAAAGAGTAACTTCTAGGGTGTATCCAAAGGTTTAGAAAGACTCAAGTCAATTTCTTTCCAACTTTTGGTCTTTTTCTATCCAGCAAGAATCAATATTTGGAAAGTTAGCCTCGAGGCGTTGTATAGATCACAGGGTATTTTCAAGGCAGATCAACACTTATTCAGATTTTTGTTGTATTTGGTTGTTCTGAAACTTAGCATTTGAAATACAATATATATGACAACTCTTGGTGAATCACAACCCATTCCCCTGACAAGATGTGTATGTTATATCATTTTAGAGGTAAAGCTAAATGGAGCCAGCTAGGTCCCAGACCTGCTACCTCTAATTAGATCTTCCCTTTTTACATGTTTTGCCTTAACACCTGCTGGCTTGAGCCACTCCCCAGAACCCTTCTGTCCCCATTCACAACAACCCCTTTATGAAGAACTGTGCCCGTCCCATTCACTACATGGCTGCAGTAAGCAGACGCCCTGTCCAAGGAGCGGAAGGCTGCCAGGAGGTGCAAAATCTATCCATTGTGGCTGAGCAGCTCTTTGCAAGGAGGTTTGAGGTGTTATCAGGTCACTACCTCTTGAGAGAAGGCACAGACAATGTCCAGTGAGGCTGTTTGGCAAATGCTAGTGGTTACTGAGGCATTTCAACTCCAACCCACAGAATTTGGGAACTTTGGAGCAATCAAAGGGTAGGCCAAGGTGCTGCTGATAGCAGTGGAGAGCTCCGGACCAAACCTATCATGATGCTATTGGATTGCTTTTATTCCAACCTCCCTGCTGACCTTGGGGACCACATAGACAAATACTAAGACAGCAATTCTCAGATCTCACCCACTGTATCTTAGCAAGTGTACCATATTTTCTAGCTGGGTCAGGACGTGACTATGGGTTCCAACTCAAAAGAGAACATAACTCACGGGGCAGTCGTTTTGTTGGAGGGGCTCGACTAGGCCAGGTGCAGACATTACTGCTTAATGGGTATCTTTTCAATAGAAAGGAAGCTGCCCTAGGTAGGGAAGCAGAACTAGGAAAAGACAGACCGAGAAGAGGCTGGGCTCTGTGTTCTCATACGCATAGGTCTCTGGCCTAGAAAGGGCTTTAGGTCATGCATCCACCGCCCAGGTGGTCACCTGGTCATGGCTAGAGGCCTCCCTCTCCCCATTCATTTCTGTCACTCACCCAAGTTTCCTCTTCCTGTTTTAAGGTGCTAGCCCCACAATCCCCACCAAAGCCAAGAAACAGAAACTGAAGTCTTTTCCATCCCAAGTTGACAAGTCCTTACTGGCCCTTTTGCTCTGACTTCTGTTTGAGTTTTACGGCTTCCAATTTAGCCCCTTCCCTGCCCAAAAACAGAGAGAGTGGCCAGCCAGTCACCGCTTCAAACTTTGACCCTAGGGAAGAAGGCCCTGGGAAAGGTTTCATGGCATCTTTGCATCTCTGGGAAATTGGGCAGTCCGCCATTTCTCTGGCCATGCTTTTTTGGCCAAGAACTGCAGAGGATGGCCTGGATTTCAAGAGGCTAAAAGTAGGTTAGAACCTTCTAGAAAGAGGATCTGTGTTCAAGACTTGGGGATTTCCTGCCTAGGAGAAGCTTTCTGGGACTGCAGTAAGCCAGGGCAATGCACAGGTGAGGAGGCTTCCTCTTGGTGGAAGAGGCAGCTTCGGTTACTTTGAGAAGCCTCAGATCTAGGTGGGCAGAGCCTTGACAGTGCCAGAGAGACAGACAGACACCTGGACTGGCGGGGAGGGTCATGCCTCCAGGTGGCCCCTGAAGTACACTGGCACATGGACAGCCCCTGACCCTTCTGGAGCCTCCTGACAGAAATGGCGATTGTTTTTTCAGAACTTCTCACTTACTTTTAGGGAGCAAAAGGTAAAATTGACTTAGCAACGCCTCACTTTGAAGTGCAGAGAAAGAAAATATAACTGAGTGGTTTCGTGCGCAGATGCTCCGTCCCCTAAGCCCATGCGTGCCCTGCCTTTCCTCCGAGGGCCTGGCATGGTGCTGGTCCCAGGGAATCTGGGAGCTTTACGGAATCAGGAAAATCAAGGGGCGCTCGAGCCCTTCTCGCCAACATGCTTTTCCTTAATCATCTAACCCCTGCTTTGGGGGCCTTGGGGTTTTCACAGGGAACGAAGAAAGAGAATACACACCAAAGAAAGATCCTGGACACTGGGTGTGTTCAAAGAGTGAGATTGATTTCTTTTTATTGCCATCTTAACAAAAAATACTTCGGAAGGCAACCTTTGATTCCAGCATAGGAGGGCCAGGCAATTCCAGGCAATAATTAAGCCATTGGCTGTTGGACAAGAGAGGGTTCAG